TCTCTCTCTCTCTCTCTCTCTCTCTCTCTCTCTCTCTCTCTCTCTCTCAAATCAGAAAAGGGTCGCAGCAAGCCAGAAAATAGATCATGGACTTTAAAAAAAAAACGGATTTAGTCAATGAGTTAAAATGAAACCTTGTTTAAATTAAAGTGGGATGGTGTTTGGAGTTTTAAAAAATGACAAAAACATATATTTTGTGCTGATTTTTCACATTATTGGGTCAGTCTGCGATATGACGATGTGCGTAAAACCTATCAATCTTGCTTTTTTCTGTACATAAAAGCAAACTTGATCTATTTCTCTTTGTGTTTTTTTTTCAAAGTCTTGAAAATATGACATATTGGAATATTCCAACTTGTTTTAATGTTTAATCTTCTTTTAGGGTGTTTTTTTTTTTTTTTTTCGCTTTTCCATGCACCTTCTCATGCCTGTCAGTTCCATTGTCGTGAGTTTCCATAGCTTTGATTTTCTTTACAAAATGTAAAGATAATTCAATAAATCTTATTCTTGTCTGAGTTCACAAGCTGCAGCACCTGAGGCGCYTGAGCTTTTGGAAAGCCTTCTTGAAGTCCTCGTTGGACATGGTGTAAATAATGGGGTTAATAAGGGAGTTCAGGTATCCCAGCCAGGTGAAGAAGTCAAACAGCTCCGGGTTCAGGCACGTGTCGCACGTGGCCACCAGCAGGGTGTAAATAAAAAACGGAAGCCAACACACGATGTAGGCGCCGAGTATTATCCCCAGAGTCTTGGTGGCTTTCCTCTCCCTGGCAGCCGAGATGCGCTTCTTCTCCAGCAGCGCGTCGGACACGGTCACCTTCACCTGGTTGTCGCTGACGGAGGAGCTGGCGTCGCTGGACGGGGCCTCGTGCCTCCCGCACTGCAGGGGGGTCGTGGACGCCACGGACGCCGGGGAGCTGGTGACCAGGTGCGCGGAGGTGAGCCTCTTCCCGACCTTCTTGGGGGACTGCTTGAGGATCCGCTTGCGCGCCTCCACGTAAATCCGCCCGTACAGGACGATGAGCAGCAGCGTGGGGACGTAGAACGCGCCGAAGGTGGAGTAGATGGTGTAGAAGATGTGGTCGGTGTTGACGCTGCAGCTGGTCAGCTCCTCCYCCTTCACCTGCCGCCAGAAGAGCGGCGGCAGCGAGATGGAGATGGCGATCACCCACGCCGTGGTCACCATCCCGGCGGCGCGCGCCGGCGTGCGCTTCTTGGAGTACTCCACCGCGTCCGTTATGGCCCAGTACCTGTCCAAGGCGATGACGCACAGGTGGAGGATGGACGCGGTGCAGCACGTTATGTCCGAGGAGAGCCAGACGTCGCAGACCACCTGCCCGAGCGTCCAGGTGTGCGTCACCGTGTACAGGACGCAGATGGGCATCACCAGGATGGACACCAGGAGGTCCGTGACGGCCAGGGAGGCGATCAGGAAGTTGGCCGGAGTTTGCAGCTTCTTGGACTGCGAGATGGTCGCGATGACGAAGGCGTTGGATAAAGTGGTGGCGAGCGTGATGGCCGCGAGGATGACAGCAAGGCTGATCTGAAAGGCGAGGCTCTCCGCGCTCTCATCCACAGCGGAGGGAGCCGAGCTGTCGTTCGTTGCGTTCACCGGCTCCACTTCACCATAGAGCTCCATAACTTTTTTTTTAGTTCATCTCACGCACCCAAGTCAAAGATCCAAGGAGCCCCTTTTCCTCCATGCGCGCCGCCTGGTCCGAGCCATCCTCTCCGAGAACCAGATCAAAACACAAAAACTGTTTCCTTCCAGCTTCATAGTTCTCTTTTTCACCGGTGCACCTCTCCGAGCGAACATCCAGTCATCTTTTCCGTTTTTTAATCCACATYTGAATAGTTTCTAACAGGGATTACGCACAGCGGCAAAGGGTGCGTCCTGATACCTCAACATCTGGGAGMATGTCACAGATAAATCCGCATGTAGGGCAGGAGTTCTCCAGAGCTGTGGCTCCTCGGGGCCCCTCGTGGTTCATTGGTGAGCCGAGCCAAAGCCTGGGTTTTATACAGACTCTGACATCAAACAAAACGCCACTGATCACAACCTTGTTCTTCTCTTTACTTTTACTCCCTCTCGAAGAGTGGACCAGCTGCTGGGTCATAGTGCCCACCCAGCCTGCCTCATCTCATGGAACAATGGTTCRAACTCACTTCACCAACACAAACCTGTTATGAACAAGTTCTACTGTCTTTCCAGTGTTTCTCTAATGGCAAATAAATAAACCTGAAACTTGAACTTGAAGTTCTCTTGAATTTTGATGCAATAACAAAATAGAGAGGTGTGGATGCAGCCAAATAACAGAAACTTTGCAATAAGAGCAAACACGTTTTGAGACCCAYTCACTAACCAAACACCTGTCTAAACAGCACTCTTAAGAAAGGCAGACACAAACGATCAGAGCTTAATAATTCTTGACTGATGAGCTGCATARGATCACACTTGGGATTTAATGGAAACAGCCTTTTCATTTCTGRTTCTGTGGTGAATATTTTGAGCTGAAGTTATAATTTGTGGGAGCTTGGCTGTGCACGTGCTGAATTTTGAGAGGATTTGGGAGAAATCTGAGCCACGTTTTGATGTAGCCTGAAGATCTGCACATGTAATAATAAAGTTGAAGTAGTAAGAAAAGTCTCTGCAAAAACTTTGTAAACAGCTCAAAGTTGGAATGTATATGACATCATCAACTGTCTATTGAACATTTTGTGAGGGGGTTACTTAAAAGCTTCCTAAAACTTAAATTATATTTGTGAAAAAAAAATCATAAAGCTCATACTTCTAAAGTTATAGCAKACTTTCCCCAGTTGAATCACATATTTTCTTTTTGCATTCTGTTGTGAGAATGACACCAGAAAACAGCTTCAGTGCTCATGCAATGGAATCCTTAAAATTGCAGTCAGACATTTTCGCAGGCCACCTTCTGCAAAAGGAAACGAGTAAACTGAATAATAAAATCGAAATCTCTGGTTATCTTTGCATCTTTTTTCGAAGCTCATACAAAATGTGTTATTTCCAATAAATTGTGAACACGTTTCTCTGTGAAATTACTGTCAATCTAATACAAGATGCAGTTTCTGGATATTAAATTGGCGCTGTTTAGAAAACAAAAAATAATACACAAATCAGCAGATGTTTGTCTTCAGAAAACTGAGGATGATTCACCGCAGCTGTTTTTTGTCACTTCTTTTTYCTGTCTTTCTCTCAATTTTACCAAAACGTTTTTTTCTTTCAGCTGCAGACAAAAAAAAGTGCCGAGATTCATTCTCTCACGTTGTCAAACACTTAAAATGAAAAATCTGAGCACGTCAAGGATTAAGAAAGCTATTTTTACAGTGTGTGACAGCCCCGGGTTGTTATGATTTACCTGTGTGCCGATGCTTTAACACAGGAACACGGGAGCGAGAGCAGAATCGTCCTTTGCCAACTGAAGGATTGAACTGATGAATCAGATATGACATGACGTGGTGATGCTGCTTCTGATTTATGCAGAGATGGGAGATTTTACGAGGAAGAGTTCACGCTCACTGGTTCATGCCYGCGTTGGCACGTTGGATGTGTGAAGGGAGCTAACATTAACACAGACTCTGAGTCGCTGTCGGTTCCACACAAACATGTGAACTTTTTGTTGCTTCGGTTCAGTGACTCACATCAGAGCTCAGGGGTCACTTGTTGCCCCTCAGTCGGGCCGCCACCAGTCAAGAAAGGTCCCCGAAAATGAATCAGTGTCATTCAGAAGGTTGTACTTCTCAGCTCGTGACGCCAACTAGCTTTGATGAACAATAAAAGTGATGACAGCCAACAAGTTTAATGTCCTCACAATCTCACAAGTCACACACAACTGTAGGGTTTTACCATCTTTGGATTGACTTTCATTATTTCTACAGCTTAACCCTGACCCCTTACTCTACCTAAACCCCTTCAATTCAGACCTTAGTCTTAAACCAACAATCCCATTTGGACCCAGGCTTTGGGACCGATAAGGAACACTGGGTCCTCACTATTTGGTATATTTTGGGAAACTGGGCCTCACAAGATAATAAATGCCAGAACACACACCCTCACTCAGACTGTGTTTCAGAGGAATTGAAATGACTAGAAGTAATTAAATAACCAATCTGTTTTTTTTTTTCTGTCATCTGAAGCAGCTGCAGCAAAGATATTAATTATTTTATTGATTCTCTTACCCAAAACTTTTAATTGGGAAATATCTGATATTGTGCAGTAGAAGATTCCAGCATGGAATCTGTAAGGCTCAGATGGCTTTATCCAAGGCAACAAAGAACATTTTTTTGGTGTGTGTGTGTGTGTGTGTGTGTGTGTGTGTGTGTGTGTGTGTGTGTGTGTGTGTGTGTGTGTGTGTGTGTGTGTGTGTGTGTGTGTG